GGGGCTGGGTGCTCCGCCACTGCCGCTGGGCTCAGATGACTTTGGGGTCTTTCCTTTCGCCCAGCAGCCAGTATGTCCGCATCTTCCCCTTGCCCTGGCGGGTGGAGGGGAGTGGTGAGACCTTCCCTGCCCCCAGCGCTGCTCCTTGGGTACCATCCCCAGCACCGAGGGCCACAAGAGGTCCCAGCCCTGACCCACCCACCCATCACAGGCCCCTGCGGCAGGAAGGGCTGGCACCCCACCGAGGTCCCCACGCCCTCACCTTCATCTCCACATCCCCACGCAACTCCAGCTCAAAGCAGCCAAACTCATCCAGGACTTCCTTGGTGGTGGAGGAGACATGGATCTTCAGGGCTGGGTGGTACAGAGGGACAAAAGGGACATGTCTGGGTCCGGGAGTGCGGCACGACCCCTGGCACTGGAGCCCAGCTGCCAGCCCCAGGGCTCACCCTGGCCGTTGGACTCCATGCGGGATGCGGTGTTCACCGTGTCCCCGAAGAGGCAGTACCGCGGCATCTTCAGACCCACGACGCCGGCGCACACAGGACCTGTGGGCAGAGAGATGCCCGGGGCTGCTGCAGGGTGGGTGGGCGAGCACCCCCCACCCACGGTGCCAGCCGGCGCGGGGGCTCACCGGTGTGTACGCCGATGCGCAGGTGGAGCTGGTCGTTGGGCCGGTGCCGGATCTTGAAGGTTTTGACGGCCTCGAGCAGGGCCAGGGCCATGCGGACAATCTCGCGGGCGTGCAGCTTCCCGTTGCGCACCGGCAGCCCTGACACCACCATGTAGGCATCCCCGATGGTCTCCACCTGAGGGGTCAGGGGGAGCGGGTACACCCCTGGCTCCCAGCTGCCCGCCTCACTTCGGGGGGGCTGCGCGTGCTCACCTGCCCGCCTCACCTTGTAGACGTCGAAGTTGTCGATGATGGCATCGAAGCAAGTGTAGAGATCGTCCGGGGATGGCCCGCCAGGGTATAAGCCCCCCCGCCAGCCCCACAGAGGGACTGCCCCCCAAACCCTGCTCTCACCTGCATGGGGGTGCTCTCTGCTGAGAGAGCGGTGAAGCCCACGATGTCGCTGAAGTAGATGGTGACGCTGTCGAAAGCCTCAGCCTGCACCGTCTCCCCGCGCTTCAGCTGCTCCGCCACGGAGCTGGCAAGGACAGGGGGGATGGTGGTGGGCTCCCACCCCACACCCCCTTTTCCCCCCCACATTCCTTGCCCTACGTCAGCATGGATGGCTGGTGAGGGACCCCACGCTTGCATGGCAGCGAGTGCACGCTGACCCCATGCCAACCCCCAGACCCACATGCTCCCGTCTCCCCCAGCTCACTGGGGCAGGATCTGGTAGAGAAGGTTCTCTGCCTTGCGCTTCTCCTCCAGGTAGGCCTGCGTCCGCTCCTCCACCAGCTTCTCCAGGTTGTTGGCGTACTGCTCCATGCGTGACAGCAGGTTGTCCAGGATGCTGGTGCTGCCCTCCCTGCCGGGGTGCAGGCAGCTGGCACCGCGGGCAGGCAGAGGTGCCCCCCAGCCACCGTCCCCATGGCTGTCCCCAGGACCCAGGGCCACCTTCACCGCTCGCCAGCCACCCACTTATTGAATCTACGGATGAAGATCTTGATCTGGCTGAAGTCGGGGCGCTCAGCCGGCTCCTGTGCCCAGCAGCGCTCCATCAGCACGGCCAGCTCCTCGCTGTGCACCCCGATGTCGATGGAGGGGCGGAAGAAGGGCTTCTGGCTGTTCCGCACCTTCTGCACAATCTCTGCCAGGGGGTGGCCGACAGTGAGCACCGCACCTCCCCGGCGGGGACGGGACCACCCCACGCCTGCCCCCCCCACCCTCACCTTTGGGGCTCAGGTCCATGCCCTCAATGTAGAAGGGGCCGTTGCGCAGGGCGACCTCCTGCACGATGATGCCGAAGCTGTAGACATCAGCTTTCTGCATGCCCGGGGTGGGCAGGTGCCCCTTCTGTAGCAGCTCTGGGGCTGTCCACAGCTTCTCTGGTGGGACACGGCCATGGGGTGGTGAGGCGGGGCCACCCCATCCCCCCGGTCCCCGGCAGTGGGCACTCACTGGCATAGAGGGCGTGGGTGTCCTCGCTGTCGCAGGGTGAGCGGAAGCTGGCCAGCCCGTAGTCGGTGATCTTCAGGACGAAGCGGCTGTCCACCACACAGTTGGATGACTTGAGGCTGCCGTGGTGGCCGATGATGCTGTTGTGCAGGAAGGCCATTCCCTGGGACAGACAGACGTAGTGAAGCTGGCATCCCTCAGGCACCTCCCCCAGCCCCTCAGGCCCCTCGCTTGGGTACCTTGACGATGTCATTGATGAGGGAGTAGCGAAACATCCAGTCCAGGTTGATGCTCTCGTTCTCCAGGACGTCCTGGGGCAGCACATGGAGTGGACCCCGCCAAGCCCCCAGGGGACAGTGGCACCAGCCCAGCCTCACCAAGTACCCAACTGCGGGGGGGGGGGGGGACGGGGGACGACGACGCTCCATGGCACCCACCCCTTCCCCTCCACTGGCCTCTGTCACTCGGGCAGCTCTGCTGCGAGTCTTGTGGGGCTTGGGTGGCCACCAGCATCTTACAGCCCTATCCTCAACGCCCAGCCCAGCTGGGTCACCTGGAGTGTCTAACTGTCACCCTGCTGCCCCCAACCTCCCCTACCTGCAGGCTGCCCCGCGGGCAGTACTCGGTGATGATGCAGATGTTGGGGGGGTCGATGCACGCCCCGATGAAGCGGGTCAGGTGGTTGAACTGGATGTCCCGCATCTGGAGGTAGAAGCAGAGTGGGGGGGATGCACTGCTGCTCCCACCAGCTCCCTCCACCACCGTGACTGACCCCTGCACCCCCAGGCAGGGTGCCCACCCCTGCTCAGACCCCAAACCTACGTGTTTCAGCTCGAACAGCACCGGGCCACACACTCCCAGCCTGGTCCCACGCAGCCTCGGCCATGTCTCCTGCTGGCCCATCTGGCTCCACTCATCCCAGCTCGATGTCCTTCTTAATGACACAGCATCTCAGGATCCATTAAGAAGCATGGCAGAGCGGCTGGCTCCGGGATCGATACACCCCGTTCATCAATTATGAAAGAGCATCAGGCTGCCCTTGCTCTCCAGCTGCCTCCGTAAGCCCCTCCATTTCCTCCCGCTCCTGATATAGCCGCTCTCCTGGGGCACTCACACGGCACCAAATTGATTTATCCTTCCATCAGCAGGGTGGGGCCGTCCCCAGCCCCATTCCCGGGCACAGCGGGGACAGACACAGCCAGGTCACCCAGGTGTCAGGCTGGGGGGCTCTGCCTGAGCATGGCAGGGCCCTGGGCAGACTTGGGGAGGGGAGAAAGGTGCCAGCATCCCACAGGGTAGGGGTGCAGCCAAGGGGGAGCACCCCAACAGGGCTGGGGAGTTTTGGGGGGGAAAGGCTCAACTCCCCATGTGCAACACTAACCTTGAAGTGGCCGGTGTTGGCGAAGATCTGGTACTTGCCGTGGGTGGTCATCAGGGAGCCATAGCTGGAGCCACGCTATGGGGAAGGAGGGGGTTAGGGATGGGGACCCCAGGGTGGGGGGTGACAGGCACCAAGGGAACAGGGCAGGGACACCCAGGGGTGTGCAGGGGATGGTGCAGGACAAGCTCTGCATGCTCCATAAGGAGGGTGAAGCCTATAGGGTGAGGTATGGTGTGCTGCAGGGGATGCAGGGGGGTGTAGGGGATGGATAAGGCATGGCTGTGTAGGGGATGGAGGGCCAGATAGGGGCCTGATGAGGTACGGTGCTCTGTAGGGGATTCGGGGCTGCGTAGGGGATGGATCAAGCGTGGCTCTGCAGGGGATGGAGGGTCACGCAGGGGAGGGATGAAGCGTGGCTCTGTAGGGGAGGGAGAGCTACAGAGAGAGGCTGTGTAGGGGATGGATGCAATGGGGCTGTGACTCTTTAGGGGACAGGAGGGCATGCAGGGGACCAACAAGTGAGGAGCATCGTGCAGGGAGGGAGAGCAGCGGCAGGGGCAGGAGGAGGGTGGTGCCCCAGGACCGGCA